ATACCTCAATATTTACAAATACCAGAGCAGACACTTGGGGTGAGTTCACATTTGGTCCTGGTTTGAGCTCATTTAACATTAAAGAACACAGCTCAGTGGAATATAAGTGAAAATTGGCTCGAAGTCAGTAAGCACAACCAGAATTAATACATGAGGCACACTGATGATTTTTGAAAACATTAAGGGATTTTAAGTGTGCCTTATAGTTCAAAAAATATGGTACATAACACTATTTGATCCTTGTAATAAATGAACTGTGTTTTTTTGGGGGGGGGGTTCCTACACTGGTATCGGTTAATATCAGGTATAGATACTTAAGAGTCTTCAGTGTGTCAAGTTATCTGTATCCAGTGTTGGGGAGTAACAGATTACATGTACCGGAGTTACGTAATCAGAGTACAAATTTGGTTACACTTTCTGTTTCAGTGAGTGGTATTTGGATTATAGTTACTTTGTTGAAATAAATGGATTACATGGTGGTATTTTCCTGTTTTCCTGTTTTCACATTTTGGGCTATATCCCCCCCTTTTTCTTTTTTTCTTTTTTTTTTTTTCTTTTTTCGATAATTCCACTCATTGCCAGAAACTAAACCAGGTCTGAACTAGATCTAAACCAGGACTAAAACAAGGACTAAAACCAGGTCTAAACTAAATCTAAACTAGATCTAAACCAGGACTAAACCAGGACTAAAACCAGATCTAAACTAGATCTAAACCAGGACTAAAACCAGCTCTAAACCAGATCTAAACTAGATCTAAATTACATCTAAACCAGATCTAAAACCAGGTCTAAACCAGGACTAAGTCAGGATTTAACAGAATTTAACAGGACTAAACCAAGCTGCATGGACGTGTCTCCTCTTCTAGCAATAATATTTTTTATTTGGTTGAGTAAAGTCTGGGCTTTTCATTTTCTTTTAGCAGACAAAACACCTTGTCTTTGCTTCTCTACAGCAAATCAAGTAATCCAAAGTATTCAGATTACGTTACTCACTTTAAGTAATTTAATGGATTACGTTACAAACTACATTTTGGGGTATGTAATCTGTAATCTGTAGGGGAATACATTTGAAAAGTAACCTTCCCAACACTGTCTGTATAGGTATGGTAGGTGAAAAGGCTGGATCAGTGCAGAAGCCTTGAGGTCTTGTAGAAGTCTGTCAAAGTCTTGGTGCCTTTTTCCTCACACATAACTTGACATGTTCAAGTGGAAAACATGACACTATTTGATGCTTGTAATAAGTTAACTGTGCTTTTTGGTGAGAATTGGGCCATTTTCCGTCCCTACGCTGGTATTGGTAAATATCAGCTGTAGATACTTAAAACCAAAGTATTGATATCAGTATTGGAGGTGAAAGTTAGAAGCCTAGAAACCTTGTAGAAGTCTGTCAAAATCCTGGTGCCTTTTTCTTCACACATAACTTGACATCTCTAAATGGAAAACATGAGACAGCATTTAGAGGTGATTCTGAGGAGAGTTTTTATCAGTTCAGCTCCACATTAATGACCGAGCCAGCTGCTGCTCATTCAGCACTAAAAATATCGCTGGAATATCTTTTAACAGAATTTCAATTTAGGACAAAAGCTCCAACCATGAGTTCCTTTCAGTGGTGACATCCAGCATCGGGCCTTTGACGTTTATCATAAAGCCCCATTCACGCGGACAGAAAGCCCATTGAAGCTCCACTGAAATAATATTATCACAACAGAACACAAAGGAGACACTTTCTTGAGGCGAGCGGCGTAAAGCACTTTGGGTCACGGCACAACTGTATACAAACATTATTTTTTAATAGAATATGACTTAGATGAACTTTATTGATCCACAAGGGAAATTATTTGAACACAGTAGCTCACAGTATATTATAATAACAAAGATAAATGGCATAAATGGTACTTTCATGGTGTGTCTTGTACATTCCTTAAGAGTCTAAATAGTTGCTTCCGCTGAAAAACAAACAGCCGCATATGTGACTTTATAAACTACTGTATCATGGTGGTTTAAGAGACGAAACAAACCACAGGCCACAATTTGCAAAGGCCAGAGTGTTCCAGGTCAACTCATGAAAACTCTCAAACTTACGGTAATAAAACTAAGGTCATGTCCTAAACTAATTTTTTTTTTTTCCTGAGGTGATTGACGTCTAAGCAGCTTCTTGATCTATTTTTTTCATTTAATTGCAATTCATTCATTACAACTCAATTTTGGCGCCGTAAATCCATTCAAATTAACCAATTAATTAATCAAAAAAAATAGCAGTGTCCATTTCCAACTGGGTATCAGGAGTTTGGATGTGAAGTAAAAGAGGAAAACAGAAGATCTGCACGAAATAAGTCATGAGATAATGAGAACTGAGTACAAATAACAGTAACCAATAACCAGTGTTGGGGAGTAACAGATTACATGTACTGGAGTTACGTAATCAGAGTACAAATTATGAGTAACTGTATTTGGTTACAGTTACTGTTTCAATGAGTGGTAATTGGATTACAGTTACTTTGTTGAAATAAATGGATTACACGGCGGTATTTTCCTGTTTTTACATTTTGGGCTATATCCTCCTTTTTTTTTTTTTTTCTGTAATTCCACTCATTGTCGGACACTATACCAGGTCTAAACCAGGTCTAAACCAGGACTAAACCAGGTCTAAACCAGGACTAAAGCAGGACTAAAACCAGGTCTAAACCATGTCTAGAACAGGATTTAACAGGACTAAACCAGGACTAAAACCAGAACGAAACCAGGACTAAAACCAGGACGAAACCAGGACTAAAACCAGGACGAAACCAGGACTAAACGCAGGTCTAAACCAGGTCTAAACCAGGACTAAACCAGGACTAAAACAGGATTTAACAGGATTTAACAGGACTAAACCAGGACTAAAACCAGAACGAAACCAGGACTAAAACCAGGACGAAACCAGGACTAAACCCAGGTCTAAACCAGGTCTAAACCAGGACTAAACCAGGACTAAAACAGGATTTAACAGGACTAAACCAGGACTAAAACCAGGTCTAAAACAGGTCTAAACCAGGACTAAAACAGGATTTAACAGGACTAAACCAGGACTAAAACCAGGTCTAAACCAGGACTAAAACAGGATTTAACAGGACTAAACCAGGTCTAAACCAGGATTTAACAGGACTAAAACCAGGTCTAAAACAGGTCTAAACCAGGACTAAAACAGGATTTAACAGGACTAAACCAGGACTAAAACCAGGTCTAAACCAGGACTAAAACAGGATTTAACAGGACTAAACCAGGTCTAAACCAGGATTTAACAGGACTAAACCATGCCGTGCGGACCGTGTCCTCTTCTCTTCTATCAATAATATGTTTTAATAAGGTTAAGGAAAGTTTGGGCTTTTTATTGTCTTTAAGCAGACAAAACATGTTAAAAATATCCTAGTCTTTGCTTCTCTACAGCAAATCAAGTAATCCAAAGTATTCAGATTACGTTACTCACTTTAAGTACCTTAATGGATTACATTACAAACTACATTTTTGGGATATGTAATCTGTAATCTGTAGGGGAATACATTTTAAAAGTCACCTTCCCAACACTGAGTATAATAGATAATCACACTCAAAAGCTTTACACAGTGACTTTCGCAGTGAAACTAACACAAACTATACAGCACTCCAAGTACAGGGAAGTATTATGATCATGTACACACGGTATGGGGCCAAATGACAGTGAGCCAGAGCAGCAGGAGACATCTGGGTATGAGCTGCTCAGACTAACCTCCCCCCACTCGCCTCAGAACCAGAGCTGCTGGTCACACTTCCACAGGGGACCACGCGTGACATGACATGACACACAAACCAGTCTCTGTCCTACTTCTGAGACCAGGGGAATTTCTCATGTAGTATACAGCTGAAATTCATTGTAATGTTATGTCATGAGTCTTGTTATTTTTTTTCTATTGTTGCCAAGGTGATTTCCCTTTGTTTTATCAACCATTTCAAAATAATGCAATAAGAGGAAATGTAAAAAGGACAGTTAACGTTGCTTATAATAATCCAATACATGGAACAGAAAGGCTTTAGCTGGTCGATATTTCAAAACTGCAATTATAAATGTAAGTTGTTATTTTTTATCAGCAAGGTTTGTGAAATGAACATGCCTACTTATCACAGCTGCGGTGTAGATCCACATCTGATACACGAGATGTAACCTAGTCTTTAAAACAACTAAAAAATACCAAAATGTTGCCAAACCAATCCCAACTCAGAACACACAAAGACATAAATTTCACAGTTGGCTGATTTTAACAACGATTAATGGGTCAATCTGTGTCCATTCTGACCAGATTTTATTATGTAGCTTTTCATTTATTCTCAAGTCTCCAGAAAATTTAAAGAAATGTTTATGTAGAAGAAAACAGCTATTCTGATTTCCACAAAACCTCTTCTTGATATATGACTGACAAGCGTGAGAGCCACTGACAGTGATGCAAAAAAAAGTCTCAAGTCCCAAAGAGTTGTGCCAAACAAGAACCACTGACTATACTATTTGCAAAACTTACATAATTTTGAGTATTCTCATAACATGATTTTACCAGTAACCCTGTTTGATACGACTCAGCAAAATTTAAGTTACATGGCTGCATTAATTTGGACAAAAAACAACTTGCAGCTTGAGAAAATAAACAATGATAACTACTTTAATCATAGAAGTTGTTTATTCTACCCTCTCAAGCTGAGATCTTACATAAAAATAACAAAAATCGTCTTCTATTGCAAATAAATTGTGCAAATAACAAATACGAGCACCAAAATATATTGTCCGAGCTTTCATATATTGCACGATGAGTCGATATATTGGAGTATAGTAGTTTTATGATCATCCACAATTAAGTGCAGTTCATATATCGGTAAATTTACAAAAAAAATATCGTATTCAAAAAAAAGCAATTATCGCGTAATATTATCGGTAAATTTACAAAAAAAATATCGTATTAAAAGCAACAAGGCGAGTAGTTATCGCTGCTACTTACCGTGTGGGGTGACTTCCCTCCCAGTTTCACTCCACTGCTCAGTACCCAGAAGTACAAACAACGACCATCCACTAAAATTGTTCCCCTCCACACTAGTGTCGCGGAAGACGGTTCACTCCGCGTTGTTTCACCATGCTAGTACTGACTATGTGACGTGAAATCAATGCTGGACGAACGAGCCGAACTCCCCGGATATCTCCCTCCACATGCCTCTCTCGTGTGGACTGTCCTCTGGTCTGTCTTTGGTCTTGTTTCTGCACAGCTCTCCACGCGTCCTGCTCCGGTGACAGGATACAGCAGAGCGCACGACGCATGACGCATGAGCAGCGGGCACAGTCTCAGCGCGCTTCTGTGATCTGAAACCAAAGTTTAGTCATGTCATCCTGTCTTTTGTCTCTGTTAAGCCCCGCTGAAACCCTAATCCGAGATCACCACTAAAGGTAACCAAAATACAACCCCGAGTCCCCTGTATTTTATTGCGTAAATCTTTGTTTACGATCGTATCTGGCTAGTTTGGCTAACATGAACACAGATCGCGTGTTTGCTACCTGATTATCCAAATTACCCAAAATGAGCAGCCAAGAAAATTTAAAACTTTATATATTTCACGTTTATTTTTAGTTGAAAGTTGGGTAAACAGATGCTTAAGTCGTATCTTCTGGAAAATTATTCACTTAACTTGTTATCCTGCGGCTGCGTTTTTAGCTGTAATGGCTCCATCTTGTGGTGAAAACACGTTCTAACCACAACACTTCAGATAAATCCACATTGTAACTTGAGCTTTACAACTTTCACGTTTTTATTATAGGCCTGGCTTGGCTTGTAGTAGTAATATTAGTGAGTAGTTACTAAACTTGGCACTGAAAAGCTCTGTGGTGTTTACGCTGTGCCAGACTTATCATGGGGACGTCATGTGTTTTTATTGTGCTTGAGGCTCCAGTTAAAAGATAAGAACTTGTACTCAAGATTTCTTCAGCATTTTATGGAACGGACTTATCGCTAAATCTCTAGTTGTAGTAACACTTAAAAATTTGTTTTCTGTTTGTCTGTAATATGCAGTATGTGCCAAAATGTTTCTGAGCTCTTTGACCGTCCACTACTGTGACCTTCAAAATAAAACTGAGAAGACAACTCCTACAGGCCAACACAATAACAGCAGATAGTAAGACAAAAATAAACATTAAAGGCTATTTAATAATGATGATCATAATAATAATATGTCTTTATTTTCAAAGCACTTTTAAAATCAAGGTTACAAAGTGCTATACAAGCTAGGGGTGTGCAAAAATATCGGAATATTGATATATCATATCATTTAATGTGATGATACAGTATCGATATATCACCAAGAGTACTTTTAGGTGTGTTTTACTAAATTATTTTGTTACGGTGCCACAGTTTTGTTGCTTTTGGAGTGAAAGGAAACTCATTTATGCAACACATTTGACATTTTTACTGTTTTGAGGATTAAAATGTTTGTGTTTCATATGAACTTTGTACAAGAAGTGGTTTAACTAAGACTTTTAGAATCACGTCCATGATTTAGCCTTTATTTTTTATTGAACTGTATCGAATCCATTTGAAATATATCATATCGAATTGAAAGTGCACTGTATCGAGGTATGTATCGTATCGGCAACTTCTTAATGATACCCAGCCCTAATACAAGCAGCAAAGAACAATAAAAATAGCATCCAGAAAGCATACAAAAACTCACAATGAAGCAATCAGTTCAATTAAATATAATAAATAAGTTAATAAAATACAATAAAAATAAATAAGGAATATAATCAAGGAAGGCCAACTGATAAAAAATGAGTTTTAAGAAGTGATTTAAAAGATGATACTGATAGCGCGGCCTTATCTCCTCAGGCAGGTCATTCCAAAGCCGAGGCGCCCGGACTGAAAAAACTCGGTCACCTCTCGCCCGGAGCCTGGACTTTGGAACCTGCCTGAGGATCTAAGGCGGATCTAAGGCTCGTACTGGGTTAAAACTTCTGAAATGTAACTTGGTGCAAAACCGAAACGAGTTTTAAAAGTGAGCAGTAAAATCTTAAAATCTATTCTTAAACACACGGGCAGCCAGTGAAAGGAAGCTAAAACAGGTTTAATGTGTTGATGTGCGTTAAACCCAGGGAGGAGCCGAGCAGCTGCGTTCTGAACCAGCTGGAGGCGGGAGATGGATTTGAAGTCGAGGAGGGAGTTGCCGTAGTCTAGACAGGACAAGATGAGCACATGGATGACTTTTTCCAGATCAGGGCGGGAGAGGATATGTTTGATTTTACTAATTGTGTGGAGGTGGAGAAAACAGGTTGGGTAACTTTTTTGATATGATATGATGTGGTGGAAATTGAAGTAAGAGTCAAAAATTATGTCATGGTTTCTGGCAGCAGGGGTGTCAAAAGCAGCTTTAAAATCGAGCACTCTTCTCTGTCTGCAGTGACAAGAAGATAATTTGAGGAGGGCTGTTTCAGAGCTGTGTGACGCTTTAAAATCTGATTAAAATTTCTCAAACATGTGATTACAATTCATAAAATCTAAAATCTGATTAGAAACAACTTTCTCTAAAACTTTGGATAAAATGGAAGCTTTGAAATTTATCTAAAATTCTTAAACCCAGAGATGCTTAAATTAGGTTTCTTTAAAAGTGTTTAGACCACAGCATGTTTAAAACTGGATGGGACAACGCCTTCAGACAGAGACTGGTTGACAACAGATAAGATACTGGGTTTAACTACAACTGTGTGATGTCTAGACTGCACGAGGTTTGTGTGGGATAAACATCAGCCAGGGAAGAAAAGGATAAGGGAATAAAATTAGTAAAACTATTTCTATAAACGGCTTGGCTAGGGGCAGATATTTGGTTCCTGATGTCAGAAACCTTTTTAATAAAATGTTTTAAAAACAGTTCACACAATTCAGTGGATGCATCATTAAAAAGACAGGGTTTAGGATTGGAGATTGAGTCTAAAACCTGAAATAAAACCCTTGGATTTGACTTGGAATTTCAATAAAATATGGTCCTTGCTTCTTTGACAGGTTGTTTGTAATTTTTTAAAACTTTCTTTCCATAAAAGGTAGAACACATTTAGATTGGTCTTTTTCCATTTTCACTCATTTTGTCTTTTTAGCTTATGTGTGTTTTCGCTAAGCCAAGGCTGGGCCGGTCCATTTGGGTTTCTTTCTTTAAATGGTGCAATAGAATCTAAGATAAAATAGTGGTTTGGTGTAGTGAAGATCCGCTGCTCCTGGGTAAAACTGGGGTTAAAAGTCAAAGAAGCTGAGGCAAAAAGCTGTGAAGAGGAGTTAAAAACACAGAAATCATAAGATGGGCCATGATTAAAAGACCGAAGAGCTAAAAGATTGTCCAGGCTGAGACCAAAGGTTAAAACCAGTCAGATCCAGTGTGTGGCCCTTTGAGTGGGTGTGAACAGTTACAATTTTGGATAAATAAAATGAAATGATTAATTCCAGAAAATCAGAAGTTGGGGGTGAGGTTTGAGGGGGCAGCATACATGAATATTAAAATCACCTAGAAGTAAAACTTCGTTGTGAGAGAGATAAAATCTCAGAAAATTCGTGGATAAAAACAGGATTAGGTTTAGGGGATCTATAAATAACTAAATCAAACACAGGATCTTTTGAAGAAATGATAAAAGACAGATGCTCAAATGAATTAATATTATCATAAAACAGGGAGTGTGTTTAAAAGTAGACATATCGACATATCGGTTGGCCGATATTATCGGCCGATATGAGCAACTTGCTGATATGGGCCGATATTTCACGTGGGCATGTTATATCTCGTTATAAAGCTTAGACTCTCTACATTATGTTCATTTAATCCAGTTTACAGACAGATAAATGTCCTAATATGTGGCTCTGCTTCAGTATTTGTCTGCAGAGTCATTTGTCTGTGTGTGTGTGTCCATACTGTCCCTGAACACACCACCAGAGTCACGTGCTTTTGTGTACAGGCGCAGACACAGATCCGTGTGCAACACTGAGATTATTTTCTTTTTACGGACAATCAGTTTGTGTCTGGATAAAAATGACATTTATAAGTGCAGACTTGTGATGTGAGAGGAGCCTGTGTGAGCGCTGAGTGTTGGAAATATGTCGACTCTGAAGCTAGTTTTGGTTCGTTCTGATAGGTTAGCGGTTAGCTGCTGTAGCTCCCGCACATAAACAGGCTGTTTTCTATTGGTCTATTGTAAAGTGACTATATTGGCCGTATATTTGTTACTGGACCTGCATTGATATGTAAATGAGCTGTGAATAGAGGAGTGGATGATGAAATTTGCGCATATAATTAATTACCGCGGCACGCAGCATTTACGGCTAAAGGCTAATAGTGATTGTTTATTTACTAGCTACTAGTGATGGGTCGGTCGCGAACGAAGCGGCTCTTAGAGCCGGCTCTTTGAGGCGAACGACAGGAGCCTGATCCTTATTGGGATTGGGAGATGTGTTTTCTCTTTCTCTCACTTTTTTCTCTTCACGTCATGTGTGGAGACTGGTGGTAGTTTGACAGCGGAAGCGGCTAAAAACGAAACTTTCAATAATACGCGTGTGCGTAGGGTAAAAAAAAAAGTGCATATATATATTCAGCATAAAATGAATAAACCAGGACTAATCTTTGGATCGAGAGAGGGAGAGAGATAGAGACCGCGTCCCGACACTCAGTCCTGGTTCAGTTCTGGTTTAGTCCTGTTTTACACATGGTTTAGATCTGTTTTAGTCCTGGTTTAGTCCTTTTTCAGTCCTGGTTCAGTTCTGGTTTAGTCCCGCTTTAGACCTGCTTTAGACCTATGACATATCATGTAAAGAGGCAGAATAACAATACATGTTGCCTAAATAAACCCAGTTTAAAATCCACTAGAGCCAAACCTAAGTTTTTTTTTTTTTATAATTCAAGGCTTACAGTGAATTTTTACATCACTAAATATATCGGTGATTATATCGGCTATTGGCAGCTCCAACTCCCATTATATCGGTATCATATCAGTCACAACTAAATCCATATCGGTCGGGCTCTATTTAAAAGCTTTCTTAAAAATGTCTGCAACCCCCCCTTCTCCCTTACCAGACAGTCGTGGTTGGTGGAGAAAAGTGTAGTCAGAGAGGTTGCTTCAGTGCGAGGGGTACAGTCACTTGTGTTAACCAAGCTTCTGTTAAAATTAAAAGACCCAGGCTGTTGTTAGTGATGAAGTCCTGGCAGATGAAGGTTTTGTTGTTGAGGGATCTGATGTTTAAAAGTCCAAAGTTTGTGGGTTTAGGGCAGGGGGTAGGATCTGTAGAGGTGCAAAGGGGAAGGGGCACAGTGATGAGACAGGGGAGATTGGATTAGTGATGACAGGGATCCTGTGTCGAGAACAGAAACTGCTGATAAAATACTTTTATCATTACATTATTTTATATTAGTTTTAATATTATGTTACTTTTTTGCTACTATATTTTTGTCTGTGTGGTCAGTGAACAAAATACTGACCTGTTGGAGTAATTCTGACAGATCTTTAAAGGGCCTATATCATTGTTTCCCAAAGACTAGGTCATGACCCCTCATGTGGGTCGCAAGAGATTATTTTTTGGGTCGCCTTGTCACAATAGACCCCCCCCCCCGCCTCACTTTTTTTGGCAGCACCACCTTGCCTAACCAGTTTTATGTAGGAAACACTGATTACTGTTTTTCATTGTTTAAAACTTGAGTAATACTAATTGTTCAGAGAGACACGATCACTCAATTAGCAATAAAATATCCTCATTAATGCTCAATAATGGTCAAATCCACCTTTATTTTGTGATTTATGAATAATGTCTATTGACTTGGGTCGTGAAAATTTATGACTTTTAAAATATGGGTCACCATAAAAAAAGTTTGGGAAACAGTGGCCTATATTACGCTATTTTCTGTTTCTATGTTGTTTCCTCTTCACAAACATACCTGGAGTTGTGATTTGTCCCAGTTTTATACAAGAAATGTCCCATGTAGGGGTGTGCAAAAATATCAAAATATCAGTATATCGTATCATTTAATGTGATGATACAGTATTGATATCATGGACTACTGTATTGATATTTTTTTTTTGCTACATTTTACTAAATTATTTTATTACAACGCTGCAGTTTTGTTGCTTGTTTAGAGGAAGAAAACTTTTATGCAACACATTTGACATTTTCCCTGATCTGATTATTGAAATGGGTGTGTTTCATATGAACTTTGCACAAGAAGTGGTTTAACCAAGACTTTTAGTTTCACAGCCATGATTTACCCTTTATTTTTTACTGAACCTTATCAATTCGATTTGAAATATATATCGTATCGAACTGAACGCTCACTGTGTCGAGATATGTATCGTATTTGCAACTTCTTAATGATACCCAGCCCTAGTTCCATGTGCCAGCAGTAAAGAGGGGAATATATTGTCATTTTTTAAGATAAAATACAAAAAAACTGCGCTTGAAAATGACCATACGGCATCAGACCTCAGATTCTGACTGAGATGGACAATGTTACGCGCTCTTTTCACTGTTTTATTCATACCAAATATCTCAGCCCAGGTGTGTGCCAGTTTTGAATACTGAAAATCTGGTCCCCCTACAACAGTATATCTCAGGTCCTGGTCCTGCCTGTGGGGGGCGCTGTTTGGCGGTGACGTGTGGCTGCTGTCGGTGCCGTGTGTGACGCGTAAAGGGGCTGGATGTATACACTTGTGTGATCCTCCTCCATTCATGTGTGTTCAGAGGCAGCAGCTCCGACAGCCGGGTCCTCACTTGTGCCATCTCTTCCCAACGCAAAGCTTGTTTTATCACACGCACAAAGGGTCGGTGAGTAGTCTCTTCATGTCCATGTTCTCCACTACAAGCCATGGTGTAATTGTGACGCATAATGTGTACAAATTAGACTTTCTGGCGCTAACATGGCTGCAGGGTTGAAACCGGCCCATCGTTCACACCAGGATGTAATTTCCCTTTCCTTTTCGATGCTTAACAAACGCAACACCAGACAGACGAGCTACATAGCTGAAAACCATGAGACGTTCACTGTCCTTCGTTAAGAATGCACGCGTTATCTGATTGTTCTTTAATTAATCTTTTGGGTGTAGACCTCAGATTGTTGCTTGTGTATGACGAAGATGCACATTTACTTGAGTCGAGTTTCCTCCTAAACGCGTACCATAAGTGCGTAGTACCTCTGTTATTTACCGCATTCTTATATTGTTTAATAATAACAATAAAAATACGAGCTGGAAGACGTGTCCCTGACCGCCCCCAGTGATAAAATGCACAACACGATTGTAGGCAAAAGTCCAAGTAAAGGTCATTCATGGACAACTAGACTTAAACGTCGTGTTGATATTACATAAATACGCATCTGTAATGAGTGGAAATACTGTTTTCTTCTTTGCTGCGTGACTATAACTTTATCTACGAGCAATATTTACAAAATAAACACGTCTTTGAGCTGGAAGTCACCTAAGTGAAGGTCAGAACTTGTGCTCTGGTATTCCCTTTATGAGTACAATAAAACAATACAAACACAACGTGTATTTACTAGGGGCTATAAACGCTGATATTTTTCGTAATTAAATAATAAACAAAAAATGCATTGATCTCCAGTTTGCACTCAGTTGACCCCGTTTCAATGGAACCACGTGGGCAGGACATATGAGACAGGCAACACCACCAAATTTAACCTACATTACATATGAAGCGTATTTGGTATGCTTGTGTATGATGTTTCCATACAGTACCAACTCTTAAACTCTGTAATGTCCATTTAAAGTCGATTTAGAGTCATAAGGATGTAGTGCATGACGCGTTACTGGGATACGCGTTATGTTTTATCATTTAATCCATGTTATTATTAGATGTGTTATCATTATAAACATGTGTAATAGCTCGGTGGGTGTGTGCAAAGACGCAGGTTTGATTTGATGGTTTGACTGGCTCTGTGTCTTGTTTTATTGCCGTTTCCAAGCGTCGGTGCAGCGCTGCGACCTTTCCCCTAGTTTCTGCAGCAGAGGGTGGATCATGTGATGTTGGAAAGGAGCTGGGGGAAGGGACTGGCGGTGAGACCGACACAGGCTCTGAATCTGCGCTCTCTGCTGCTTTTGCGCGTTTTTTAACATACTTTGTCAAACGGAGGATGACTTTAGATAATTATTGAGGAAGAGGACTGTTGAATAATAATGAAATGACACACCCAACAGCTTGTAACACAAACACTTTCTTTCTATAATGCTGGATACAATGAGTTTATATCAGATAGGCCTGTTATAATAATTACTATATTGATTTATCTTCAATTTATGAAAGCTGGAACTATGTACTGTATATTTTGGGGCTCAATATTTATCTTGTATGCGATTTCTTTGCTATAATGGGGAGGTTTATATAATAAGGTAATGTCTGAGCTGTAGGGGATGGAATAAGTGACTTATAATGTTAATTATTAGTTCATTCTGCTGTTTAGTTATTGCAGCTCAGGCTTTATAATGATACTGTATATTTAAAAATGGGTTTATTGGGATTTTTCAGCTTTATGTCAGTAGCAGTAGTTTCAATATTACTGTTCATACCAATATTTCTCTTTTTTTGTTATTGTGAAACAAAGTAAGGCCATTGTTGTGCTAAAGTGTCTTGAACATTGTTTGGAGTAATTAGGTTTAGGTAGACAAATTAATTTAGCTGGATGCACCTGTCCGTCCAGTTCCAATGTGAAAAGCACATGCAGTTGTCTTTTACAGTGTCTGTGGTGTCCAATTACACATGCAAAACGTTATACTTAATGGGCCTGTTGTGGAAAAAAAAAAATAATAGACCTTGAATAAAAAATAAGAAATCCATTTGCGAAGCCTGATGAGTTTTTGGAATAGAGACAAAGGTTTATTCTTGTTACAGCAGATATGGTCAGGACCTTCAGACCAACAGCCTCTCCTCCAGCAGCATGTCCCCAGGCTCGCCCAGAGCATCTTCCCTGAGTCTTGAGCGCTCAGTATTTATGCAGAAATACAAGTAACATACAGATTAAAGCAGAGTGACACTTGTCTCACAGGCTGGTGCTAATCGACTTAACATACATTTGAGGACAGGTAACACATTGTTTCCCGTGGGGTGGGGACTGTTGTGTCTGCTGAGGCTTTACACATGTTTGTTCTGGCCTCAGATAGAAACCACATTCATGTACACAAAGATACACTGAGAGAAATCTTTCCACAATGTAAATTTCCATCACAGGTCCATGTTATGCTATTTTCTGATCTATGTTATAATGCTTTTTCCTCATCAAAAACATACCCTGGAGTTGTATTTTGTTTCATTCACTCATGTTTAACACACACTCTGCATACTTGGGCTGTGTTCTCTCAAAAAACACGTTTCCACCTTGTGATGTCATGTGGTAAGACAGGAATTGCTGTTTTTAAAATCAATACACCTTTACTCTATTTACCTTTATCATCCGTGCAATTACCCTGATTTTCTTCACAAATAAAGGACTTCACGGGCTCAAAAGGTCACGTACTGATGATCTTGTGTGTCAAATATTTGTTCTCATTCACCGTCGACTCCATCAACACAGTGAACACCGTGAAAACTAAAATATCTGGATCATTTCAGCCCTGGAGGTAGCTGTCAACTTGAAAATCACCACTACATGACATTACAAGGTGGTACATATCGTTTTGAGGTTTGGAGATGTAGACAGACTAATCATAAAGGATTACTCAAACGTGTGAATGAAACAAAACACAACCCCACACAGCTTTTTGAGGAGGTAACTATATTATAACGTGACTTACAAGAGTTCGTTTTGTGTGTTATCGGGCCTTTAAATGCATAATGGCTCCTGTGTTAATCTGAGCAAATAGTGGTGTTTCCCCATAAGGCTTAAGTATAATTCTCTGTTATTTGTGATTGCAGTAGTGAGCCCCGGTCACTGTATCCACCATGGCAGAAGCCCACCAGGCTGTGGCCTTTCAGTTCACTGTTGGCCCTGATGGCATCGACCTGCAGTTATCCCACGAGGCGCTGCGCCAGATCTACCTGTCCGCACTCCACTCCTGGAAAAAACGCTTCATTCGCTTCAAGGTAAGATGATGTATGATGAAAACAAATTAAAATCTTTTTCTTTTTTTTTTTTCATGTGTCATCCGTAATGGAACTCATCTTAGTCATCTGTGAATTATTTTGTGGCATGCAGAACTGCCTTTAGTTATAATTTCCTTCAACCTAACTCTTCTAAATTGATGGTTACTTGTTTTGGTGAAAAGTTTGTTTTGAAGTGCTTCTGCACCATTTCTGCTTCCTCCTTTTGACCCATATTTTTGGTTTGTACTTTCCTTTTCCTTTCATACTTCTTTTAAACTCTTTTTTAATCTCCTGATTAACATACACAGCTGCATAAGCCCTACTGTCCATTTTGATAAATATGTGTCTTCTTACACAGAATGGGGTGATGACCGGTGTGTACCCGGGAAGTCCTGGTGGATTTATGGTCGTTGTTGTGTCCTACATGTCCTATAATAGATATTATCAACTGGATCCCTCACGGGGGATTCTTACAAAAGTTGGTCAATATTTGCCCATCAGGTTTGTACCTTGTTGTCAATGCCTTTACATATAAAAGTCATGTTCTTTCTTGGGGATGTCTTGATCCAGTATTTTTGGCCCCTGATGTGATACTGTTTTTTTTTAATATTTACGATTCCCAGATACCATTCCCATATAGATCACATCCCAATACCGATTTTCTCATTTTCACTTATTTTATTTACACAATTTAGGGTGTGCCTTTATACATAATGAATAATTTCACGGTTAATTTAGCCCCAGGTGAATACAGTCATTAATAGATAGAAAAAGGCCTACTTAAAAATGATTTCAGGACTCCAAGGACATAAATGTCCACTCAAAAAAACAGCTGTAAAATCACCATAGATAAAATTTTGTCATTCTTTTTTGACTAAATCCAAAGATCTAGCCCTCTATATTTATATATATATTTAAATATATATATATTGATTTTATAAATGTTATATTTTTTATTAGAGCAGGGATAGATCTTTTAAAATGGGACAAAAATGTCGATAGGAACCACTGAGGGTCAATATGGTAAAATGATGTCTTACACTTCTCCACAGTACAGCACTTGAGGACATAGTAACTGAGACATTAGATGTTGTTTCATTCTCTGTTTCTAAAGTCATTTCTTTTTCACCATATTATTGATGTTTGAGGCCTGTAAAAAGACTGGAAGACTGCCGGAAGCACGTGGCTACTTAACATATATAAACAGTTAACGCATTCGGCTCTGCTCTGCCGATTTTATTTCACTTCAGTTTTGTTTTCGCTCTTAAAGCTCCGTGAAGATATTACAGAGGTAAAACAAACACTATCTCAGTCATTAATAATGTTTTAGCTGCTTTAGAGGCTCCTCAGTCCGTGTTTTATCCGCAGCTCTTTTACTCTGAGTCGGCCCCGATCCTTTCACCAAATCCGATCCAAGCGATACTCTGAAAATACCTGGACCGGCTGCCGTTACTGATACCAGTACCGGATCAGGACATCCCTATTCTTTTCTCCACGTTTTGTTTATTTATGTGTCCTGTGCTTGATCCACAGTCAATACATCTCCTCAGACAGTCAGAAGATCGTTGGAGGAGTCCTGGTGGGCACCGGGCTGTGGGTCTCCATCATCATGGTCATGAGGAACGTGCTGAAGTCCCTGCTGTCCTGGCACGGCTGGATGGCCCAGAGACACGGCTCTGTGCCCTACTCCACACGCCTGTGGATGGTCAGTTCTTCTGCTGTATATAGAGTAAAGAGTATGTGTTATTGGTGACAGTTTGTAAACACAATAACCTTTCTTTCTTTCTTTTGTCTTATCTTTATGCTCTGTAGTTATTAGTGAAGATTTTCTCTGGCCGGAAGCCAATGCTTTACAGTTTCCAGAACTCTCTGCCAAGACTACCAGTTCCTGCTGTTAAGGACACCTGCAGAAGGGTAATTTCCCCTGTTGTCTTTTTTTAATTTCACAGGTGCTTAAGGTAACTTACGGTTCTAACACCTGTCAGTTGTTGTAACACGTGTGTCCTGTGATTACAGTATTTGGAGTCTGTCCGTCCTCTGATGGAGGATGAACAATTTGAGAGGATGAAGGGTTTGGCCAAAGACTTTGAGAAGAATCTGGGGCCCAGACTGCAGTGGTACCTGAAGCTCAAGTCCTGGTGGACGTCAAACTATGTGAGTGTCTTTGTTATTGTGTTGGCATTACTGCGCTGGGGTATTACTGCACTGGGGTATTAGTGTGCTGGGGTGGTAGTGGGGTGAGGTATTACTGCTCGATCTTGTCTCTGATGACGTTTGTCTCTCTGTCTTGGGCACAGGTCAGTGACTGGTGGGAGGAGTACATTTACCTCAGAGGCCGCAGTCCCATCATGGTCAACAGTAACTATTATGCCATGGTAAGCCTTTGTATATTTCTGTAGATTAGTTTTAAGTATGACTTTCAAAAACAGTATTTCCAACAACAAAACACTACAATTACTACATCTGCCACATTAAAGAATGGAGGATAATGGCACAGTCTTCTCTTAAAGTAAATATTTTAATCTTGTGTCTGTGTGTTTTTCAGGATTTTCTTTATGTATTCCCAACATCAATCCAAGCAGCAAGAGCTGGTAATGCGATTCATTCGATCATGCTCTATAGAAGAAAACTGGACAGAGCCCAAATCAAACCAGTAAGTAGATAACTTTTGACTTTAATCGTAATTTTCCACCTTGGTCGAGTAAATGTTTAATCTTTCCATTTAAAACTCATCACAGACATGTAGTATCCACAGTTACGTTATGTTTGTTATCTTATACAAACACTGGGTAGGAATTGAATGAACTTGTACTTCATTTTGTAACACGTATAGATGTTTTTTTCCACACATTATATTGTTATGGTAGAAAGTTCATTTTTTGTCATCACAGAAACACAGTGCTTATGTAAGACAGGATTACATATTTACATAATGGATTGTTAGTAATACTCTTTGCTGTTTTCTGTGGACCTGCATGATGCTTAAGTGCAAATGGTTTAAATTTGCACAATACTCACAGTAGTGTACAGTAACCTTTGGCATGAATCTATTTCCAAACACATGTAGCATGCACAAACACAGAGGCCCTGCATGAGCTTCTTGTTCCACACTCACATGCCCGTTCTCTGTTTGACTGTTTTGTCCTTTGCTGTGTTGGACGCTGCGTTAGATATACTTGCTGGCAAACAAGGTTCCACTGTGTTCGGCTCAGTGGGAGCGGATGTTTAATACAAGCCGTATCCCTGGTGTGGAGACGGGTAAGTGGAGGGCCCATGGTCGCCATGCCCTCAAACTCCTATGTTAACCCTCATCACCCACGGCAACTGCCTTTGGAAACCCTGACCTCAAACTCATGACCAAAAGTACATCCTTTCTGTGTTTGAAATATTGATCAGACTGTTAACACAAGGATGTTACTGAAACCATGAGTTTGAAGCCACATGTTTCTGGACTTTTCTTATGTCCCTCCCTAACAGCCTCTAGAGGTCCCTCCTGCTCCTTAAAGGGCCCATATTACTCTATTTTCTGATCTACGTTACAATGTTGTTTCCTTATCAAAAACATACTTGGAGTTTTATTTAGTTTCATTCACAAATGTTTAAAAGGTAACAGCATTGTAACATGACTAAAATCTCACAAGAATCAATTCTATGTAATATAGGACCTTTAAGAGTGCTTCTTAAATCCTCATCGTTCCTCCACTGCATCCATGCTCCTTGTGTCTGCTGCTCTGGGGTTTTAGTGAATTAGAGTATCATCTCTGTGTTTGACTCTCCCCTTTTGCTTTTCAGCTCATGCTCCTACACACTATCCCCATGTGCTCAGCCCAATACGAGCGTATGTTCAACACCACTCGTGTCCCAGGTGTAGACACAGGTAGAGTCTTTAGCTGCCGACCTTCGCCACACTATTCTTACTCTACTTCTCCACTGGACCTTTGTCCTACTGTTTGTCCTTATAAAACAAGACCTTTAAGTTTAACACATGAGGACTTGGCGATATGTATAGTAGCTACTACTATATAAAATGCTACATTCTCAGTATGTGAATGTAGCAAGGCATAACTTCTTGGCTACTTTTAAAGACAATACAGTAAAGAACTTCAGAACTGTCCCTGACGTTGGCTTGCGGCAGCAGCATAAACATGTCAATAAGGTAAATACACTTTACTGTATTGTAAAAAAAAAACAAGAAGTGAAAGTACATAAGAAGACAAAATTACATCTTTGGCTTAATAGCAATACATAATTTCATAATTAAATACATTTAATTTATTAATTAAATACATTTTTTAAATGACTCAAATAATTTTTAATAATAATTTAAAAAATTAATAATAATGAATAATTATCAGCTGTGGATTACCTGGATACGAAACTGTTGTTCTTAGGTATGTTCCTAGCATAAACTGTATAAATGGACATAGATAACCCGCTCTACATGATCCTGGTTTTTTTATTTCTCTATTTTGTCCATAAATTCCAATTCCTTAATCTAGAACTCGGCTCCAAATTCGCCCCTATGACTGCTAGCCTCGTGAGCTTCATTTGACTGGATCTGAACGCCATGGGTGACGTCACACTCACGTAGTCCACTTCTTTATACAGTCTATGATTTCTAGACTAGGTCGCCTTTGTCTTTCCCTTAAGGCTGTGCTTGTTTGAACAAATGATACATCCACAAATGACCTCACATGAGATAAACAACAAATCTGAATATAACAAAATGTTTTACATTGTTCAAACAAACATGGCCTCTCATGATATTCCAGCCCATTGTCTGATTCCCATTGATGTTTCCTTTCATCCACCTTTCCTAGTTCAGCCTGCGTACTCTGATTACATGTTCAATACTCCTTATCATTATTTATTATTAGATTATTTTTGTAGCTTTTCATTTATTACATTTTTATACTTTAAGTATCTTTAAAAGCAGATCTTTTCTCTGTTCCTCCTCACTGTTGCCTCTTCTGCTCCAGACATTCTAGTGCATGTGAATGAAACCAAACACATCGTCGTGTACCACAAGGGCCGCTTCTACAAGGTCTACATGTTTTATGATGGACGGCTGCTGTTGCCGCGGGAGATCGAGCAGCAGATGGAGAGGATCTTGGCCGACACGTCTGAACCATCTCCGGGAGAGGAGAAACTGGCTGCTCTCACCGCTGGCGAAAGGTGAAGCTACATCAGAATACCCTAATTCTGCAAATTTTACACCGAGTAAACCTGACAAAACTATAGAAAGTATTCAAATATAGACTCCGCAAAGAAAGCCAAGTCTGGTAAGGGAATCTTTTGCCACTATTCTGCTACTACAGAGAGCACTGTACTGATTTAATAGCTGATTTGTTTGGTACAAACACTTATGATTTTTCTATTACAATATTTAAATCTTTGTTCTCAGAGTTTAATCTGTCCTGGAATTCTCAATAGTTACATGTAATGTGGCGCAGACTTTTGTCTCTTGTTAGGACAACTTCTTGCAAGAACAGACTTACTATTTGAGCACAACATCACTTAAATTAAAGATTTGTCTGAGATGTGGATATTAAAGCAGTCTTAAACTTTGGTGCCCCCCACAGGACACCATGGGCCAAAGCTCGTGAGACCTACTTCAATCGTGGAAAGAACAAGCAGTCATTGGACGCGATTGAGAAGGCTGCCTTCTTTGTGACTCTTGATGACACTGAGCAACGCTATGATGAAAAGAATCCAGTGAAGTCTCTGGACAGCTACGCCAAGTCCCTGCTCCATGGAAAGTGCTATGACAGGTAGAGTACATGGAAAATATGAATATTACGCACTTTCAATACACTGTCAATCAATGATTATTTTGACTTTAACTGTATTTTTCAGGTGGTTTGATAAATCCTTCAACTTGATTGTCTTCAAAAATGGCACGATGGGTCTGAATGCAGAGCACTCTTGGGCTGATGCTCCGATCGTTGGACACCTCTGGGAGGTATTTATCTCACAACATTTGAGTCAAGATGTTGGTCACAGATAATCACTGGAACATCCACAGGAAAATGACATGCTGAACACTTGAAATATAAAATACTTTTCATTGCAGCATGTGCTTTCCATGGATCCTGTCAAGTTAGGATATAATGAAGAAGGTCACTGCAAAGGACAGCCCCATTCAAACATGCCCGGTCCCCAGCGCCTGCAGTGGGACATTCCCACAGAGGTAAAACTGCCTTTACATGCTCACCTGTCATTTAGCATGTAGTCCGTTTACTCAGGCAAATCAAACCAGATTTAAGATTTTTTTTCTGTATCACTGTTGAAATGTATCTAATCTATAACTCTCTGGCGCCCTCTAGTGTCAGGAGGTCATCGAGAGCTCTTTGACAGTTGCCAGGAATCTGGCCGATGATGTGGACTGTCACATCATCCCCTTCAACACCTTTGGAAAAGGCTTGATTAAGAAGTGCCGCACCAGTCCTGATGCCTTCATACAGATCGCCTTGCAGCTGGCCCATTACAGAGTGAGTAAAATCAGTCTCCAAAATGCCCACCATAAACAATATGAAATTATCCACTTGTTTAAGGAGGTATTTATAATAACTTGTCCTACTCAACTCTGGTTTGAATTTTAAAACACGTCTCCAGCAGAGGGCAGTCAAAACTCACTAACTGGCTTTACTCTTGATGAGTTTGTGCTCAGTACAGTACATGTGGATGCTCATAATGTGAATGCTACAGGACAAGGGGAAGTTCTGCCTGACCTATGAAGCCTCCATGACGCGCCTGTTCCGTGAGGGCCGAACAGAAACTGTGCGCTCCTGCACTGTGGAGACCTGTGCCTTTGTCCGATCCATGATTAGAGATGAAACTGTAAGTCCTTCAATTTCAAACTGCTCCACTGAACAAAAACATGAACACTGATGTATATTTTTCAGAGAGAGGAGCGTTTGAAGTTGCTCAAAACGGCCGCAGAGAAGCACCAAAACATGTACCGTTTGGCAATGACAGGACAAGGCATCGACCGTCACCTGTTCTGTCTCTATGTGGTCTCTAAATACTTGGGAGAGGACTCTGCTTTTCTCAAAGAGGTGGGAACTGTTATATGAAGCTGTTTCAATGTTGGAAGTCACAACGTAATGTGGAACAAATGGACTCCATGCTTTTATCATATTTTATATTCATGTTTTCTGAAGTTTTAATTAAAAAAAAGTTAATTCTGTTTTGTTGCCGGTTCTTCAGGTGCTTTCTGAGCCATGGAGGTTGTCTACCAGTCAGACTCCTCTCCAGCAGGTGGAGCTGTTTGATCTGCTCCAACACCCAGAGTACGTCTCCTCAGGGGGAGGATTTGGACCGGTGAGACTGTTTATTTTCAGTTTGTATGCAGAATTTGGAATAAAACAAAATTCCATTATTAGCATGTTTGTCTCGTTTTGGGGTTTAGGTTGCAGATGATGGATATGGTGTTTCTTACATCATTGTTGGTGAGAATCTCATCAACTTCCACATCTCCAGCAAACATTCAAGCCCTGAGACGGTAAACTCACTGTATATTTATAATTATAATACATCTGTCTGCATCTGTACAACTGAAACTGAACTGAACCTGTGTCTTTGTAGGACTCTCACCGCTTCGGGGGCCACATCAAACAGGCCATGATGGACATTTTGGATCTGTTCCAGTTCGATAAGAAAGGCACCAAGTGAATGCCCTTTCCGCTGGTGCTGTGAACAGACTATGTTATAAATATGTTTGTACAGGTTTGAAATTTGGGAGTATTTAAAGTTAATTCTTGTGAGAGGAATGAGGAAATTTGGAGACTTGTTTGCAATTAGAAACATAATTTGGTATCTGTATATAGGTGAGGAGATGCTGAGATTTGCAGAGTATGATGCAGGTAGTGAAAAGATTAAAGTTTTTATTTCCAAGACTGTACGGTGCCTTAGTGACCCACTAATGTATCAAGGCCAGAAAGGGAAGAGCAAGTCGGTTTGCTGCTGTAAAGTCTGAAATCAAAGGTTTCAAGTGAGGTTTAATGGAATCACATTTCGTTTTATTCTTTGAGTAGTCCTTGTTCAGGTGTAAATTTATTTAATGTTAAAACTCAGAAGTACATCTAGTGAGCAGATGATCAAAACTGAGTAATGCTAAATTTTATGTAGCAATAATCTGATGCTTAAAGTTGCACTGTGTAACTTTTCTGGAGGGGGTCCGGTTTCTGTTTGTCTCCATGGAGATGTTAATGCTTCTGTTTAAGTTAAGTCTTGCATTTATTCAACTATAGGTGTTATTTATTGCTCAAAAATATCTTAAATTTTCTCCACAAATCTAAGCTGTAATTTCACTTGCAAGTCTCCATGGAGATTAATTCGTTTATGGGACATACTGTGGAACATTCTAGCAGACAAGAAGGTGACGGACCCTCCAGCAGACAAGTTACACATCGCGGCTTTAAAATGGATCGTATTTTTTGCCCCTATCGTAATTTTGAAAAAGTGAAATTGCACGTGACATCGCTGTCTCTCTTAGCTGCTAATATGTCCATTGCTAATTTGTTGATGTAGCGTCAAAGGGAGGTCATGTCCGCGTCTTCTTTCATTCTCAGGTTAAACTGACTTAGTCTTTTATTGCTGGGTGCTTCGTAGAGCATCGGACGATTGATTTTGCTGATTTTAAATTGTTATTTAATTTCGCAAGTTAGAGATTCACTATGTAACTTTTCTTTTGGACTGTACCGTAGATTGTGTGTATATATATATATATATATATATATATATATATATAAACGGACATAGCGAACCTGCGAGCCGCCGTGTTTGAAAGGGGAAGTAGAGCCCTGCACTCCCACGGGACCCGAGGCAAAACAGTGGGGCGCAGGGCATGTTTTGAAAGCTCATTGCGGGCGTGAGCGGGTGGGATGATAAACTGCAGTCTCGCAAAATAAATATGAGTGTAAACTAAAATATACAAATGATTAATGTAAGCCTATCATTAGGAATGTAACAAAAAACAAAATATCGTGATATTGTACCGTCAAAGCTCTCACAATAATAATATCATGGACCATCACAATATATTGAATTACAAGTCCCTTTGCTTAAATTAAGAGTTATGGTGCAACAATAGCTAAAAAAGACAAAGGGAACTACATAGACCATGATCCTTTGCTCCATTTCAGTGTAGACTACAAGAAGTAGTAACAGTTTTAAGCACTTTTAAGTCTTAGTTGTTTGGACTAAGTAAATTTTAAGAGGAAAAAGTAGTGACACAGTTTTGTTCGCTTCCACAAAATATCACAATATCACATAAATATCGTACCGTGAGATGTATATTGTGAAAATATCGTACCGAGAGATTTGGATATTGTTACATTCCTAATCGTGAGCTTTCCCACGATATCGCAATAAGTATCGTACCGTGAGGTTCATACCGTGACGATATCCTTTTATAAATAATTTGGGCTGGATATTTAAATTGGCATTAATAAAAATATTTTTAGCAGCCTAAATTCACGGACATGGTCTAATCTTGTCCACATTTTAGACAATTCTTTACCGCTTCTCCGTGTTTGATAGAGTTTGAGAAAGCGAACATCCCCCATTTGCTGGATTTGCGGGCAGGACCGGGACAAAACACCGCAGACTCGTGAGGGAACAGGAATGAAAATTACAATTCTTTGCGGGTGTGGGCGGGAGCGGGACTGAAAATTCTGTCCCGCGCAGACCTCTAATAGGAAGTGAGCATGGGCACTCTTCCGGCTCCATCGACTTAGACTCCAGTTCTGTTTGTACTGAAAAAAGCGTCACTCCTCTCTCTCTGGAACCGCTACTGTCAGACTCCTCATTTTGGGCATAAAACGTTCATATTAACGCTCTCTACATGATCCTGGTGCTTTTATTTCACAATTTTGTCCATTAATAAATTCCTAATCCTAATATGAAACTCGGCACCAAATTCCAACTTCAAAATCTATAACTGCAGGCCTCGTTGAGCTTCATTTGACTCCCTTCTGTATTCAGTGTATGGACAGTACACCACTTACTTGCTTGTCTCCATGGACGTGTTATTGCTTCGCCTGGAATGTTCCACCGTATGACATTAACATTTCAGACTAAGTAATAAGATCCCAGTAGAGAAACGCAACACACGCCAGAAAAGTGTCATAGTGCGGCTTTAATGTGAATGAGATTCTAAAATAATATTGATAAAGCTGCGTTAAAACAGTTCACGGTCAACTGACATTTCCACTTTTCACGTTATAAATACAATACACTCCGAAATTCATTGTGTGTGTGCGTGTGCAGTAAACAGTTTTCATCACAGGTTTGCGTTAATTGTGTATTTTTTTTAGTGCGTCACTGGTCAAAGTTGTGTACAAGCTTCGTTCACAGACTAACTAATGGAACAACGCTTCTCTTCATTACAGTATAGTACGATCGGCTTTAGGGTTTAGACACGCACATTTGGACAGTTAAGGATTGCATTTCTATTTTGTATATGTTGTCCGGAAGTTATTTATTTTTCATGTTTGTAATTTCATCTAAACTGTTTGGAAACTGCATTTTTACCATTTGAATGTGGAAGGTGTAATAATGTAATTTAGGCACTAAGTTTGGGGGTTTTTTTTGTTTCTGGAGGGATTTATTATTTTTTTTTTTGGACAGAACATTGTAGTTGACTTTTTTTATCTTTGGTTAGAACTCATGTTTACACTGCTGCATGGTTTTGCTAATGGCGCTGTATGTTTGCCTTTTAATTTAACAGATGTTTAACAAGAATAAGCAGCTGATTAAACCAAAACTCAATAAAGCGAATGTCAGACAGCTGTACACATTTTTACGTGTTTTATTCCCATATTTTTGCATATTTACTTTTTAAAAACTTTTATTTAACCAGGACAGTCCTAGTCAGGCTGGTGCCACCTAGTGCCTCCATTCAATTTCATTTCTCTCCAGCGACTAGATCAGGAATCGGAATGCACTAGACGGTTTGCAAGAACCCTGGAAGTCGCCAATCAGCGAAGAGTTGTGAAGCCATGATGTCAAACTCAAGTGCCTGTCTGTGCCAGTAAAAAAAGCTGTCGAGATGGATGCAGATGAAGCCATACATTCTGTGTTGGCAACAATTCCTGAGATCGAGGATTTAAAGCCGGAACAAAGAGAATGTTTGGTGAATTTTATCAAGGGGAAAGATGTTATTGCCCTTCTTGCTACAGGATTTGGAAAATCTTAATATACCAGTTAGCCCTGTTAGCGGCGCATTACAAATGTGACTACCAAATTGCAGCGATTGGTTAAATGAAAAAAAGTACCCGCCTGAGCGAACTAATCCTAATGCTGTGAGGTCAGACAGTTTCCACGAAGTGAAACCGGCTGATGAATCAGGCTATGAATATCTATTTTAGGGGAATTCTGGTCAAGCAGTGCATCTCCATACATTTAGGTAGATCTCTATAAATTTAGGCAATCACAAGAATTTCTTAGCTAAAAACTACAAGCTACAAACCATAGATTTAATTTCCAAACATTTCAGCATTAATTTAATTGTCATATATTACGCAAAGTTGACTATTGTGAGTTTTAAGCCTTGTTAGAATGCTTTTACGTCATCAGAAACATACCTGGAGTTATGTTTTGTTTCATTCACACATGTTTGAGTAATCTTTTATTCAGGGTTCCCACAGTCATGGAAATCCTGGAAAAGTCATGGAAATTGAAAATGTCATTTTCCAGGCCTGGAAAAGTCATTGAATTTTGTAAATTCAATGAAAATTTTGGAAAAGTTATGGAATTTTAGTATCTCTTTCCTGTATCTACAACGTTCTGTTAGGTGATCATTAGGCTATTATTATTATTTCTGAAAGTATGCACCTTTTGCTTAAAAGAGATGACAATAAATGCACTGACAGTGTTTCTGAAAGTTAAAAACTATAATACCAACATAAGATGAGTTGAAAGGGTTAACACTTCATATTTAGCCCTAAAAGTATAATCAATTCTACACATGTAAGTGCCGTAAAATCAGGGAAAATTCACTTTAGGTCATGAAAAAGTCATGGAAAAGTTTTGAAATTTTGTCAGTGAAAAAAAGTGGGACCCCTGTTTATTATTAATCTGTCTACATTTACAAAGCTCAGAATGTTCTGTTCCAACTTGTGATGTCATGTAGTGGTAATTTTCAAGTTAACAGCTCCTTTTCCCTTTTGTTTAGTAGAAATTGGCAGTTCCAGGGCTGAAATTATCCAAATGATTCTAGTGAAGGTGTATGGAGTTTAAAAACACAGTGTGGCACTTCCTGTATCACCACATGACATCACAAGGTGGAACCGAGTATTTTCTGTTTGAGAGAAGAACTCTGCCTTAATATGCAGGGTTTCTGTGTTAAACGTGTGAATGAGACAAAACACAACTCCAGGTCTGTTTGTGATGAGGAAACATTATAATATAGATTAGAAAATTAAATTGTGTAATATGAGCTCTTTAAACTCGCTTATTGGACTCCCAAGAACTGAAAAACAACTACCAGTTTCTGTGCAAATACTTGGTAAAGAAAGCATAAAATGGTATCCCAAATGTGGTGGTATCTGATTAATTGGTATGACAAATGTGGAATTTTGACTAGCTGGCTTTTCTGTGCTGACAACTTGTACATCCTGAACTAAATCGAGCGTAAAGATGATGCTTCCCTCTTTAGCCTGGCGTTTATTGAATTAAATCAGAGCTTGCTGTGGTGTTACCTCATTATGATGCCAGGTGCTCAGACTCGAGTGAGTGGCACCGCAAAGCCTGTTCTGTCCCTGAGAGCCAACGCTATGACGGTATGTACAAAACTTAGTTAAAGGTCCTATATTACACAAAACTGACTCTTGTGAGCTTTAAGTCATGTTATAAGGTTGTTAACTACGCAAAGACATACGCGGAGTTGGGTTTTGTTTCATTCACACATGCTGAGTTATTAGTCTGTCTACATCCCCCAAGCTCAAAACACTCTGTTCCACCTTGTGAAGTCATGAAATGGAAGTTTTCAAGTTAACAGCCACCTAACCCTTAGCCTAATTCATCAGCCGGTTTCATTTTGTGGAAACTGTTTGACCTCTCAGCATTAGGATTTGTTAGCTCAAAGGTAGGTGGGTACTTTTTTATTTAACCAATCGCTGTTATTTGGCCGTGACGTATGTAATGGCCACTAACAGGGTTAACTGGTATATTAAGCTTTTCCCAAATCCCGTTGGTAGAAGGGCAATAACGTCTTTCCCCTTGATAAAATTCACCAAACATTCTCTTTGTTCCGGCTTTAAATCCTCGATCTCGGAAATTGTTGACAGCACAGAATATACGGCTCTTCGCTGATTGGCTGGTGCCCCAACTCGCACTTCCGGGGTTTTTGCGAACTGTGTAGTGTATTTTGATTCCTGACCTAGTTGCTGGAGAAAAATTAAATTGAGTGGGGGCACTAGGTGGCGCCAGCCTGGCTACCTAACCCTATCTTTTGTTCAGTAGAGATCTACAATTCCAAGGCTGAAATTGCCCAAATGATTCTAGTGAAGGTGTATAGAGTTTAAAAACACAGTGGAGTCCTTCCTGTATTACCACATGACATCACAAAGTGGAACAGAGTGTTTTCTGTTTGAGAGAAGAACTCCTAAATATGCAGGATTTGTGTGTTAAACATGTGTGAATGAAACAAAACACAAACTCCAGGTCTGTGATGAGGAAACAACATGATAGCATAGATCAGAAAATCGTAAAACTACCGCTTCATGACATCACAAGGTGGAACAGAGCATTTTGAGATTTGGAGACATAGACATGGTTCCTCAGACATGTGTCAATGAAACAAAACACAACTCCAGGTTTGTTTTTGATGAAGTAACAACATTATAACACGGCTTAAAGCTCACAAGAGTCAATTTTGGATCATGTTGGACCTTTAATGAGTGTAATTCATTGTATCTGAGTTTTTGTGTGAGTAAGCAACAGGTGTTTTTATAGTTTCAAGTGTGAGTTCTCTCCATTTAAAACACAGGATATTATGTACCACTTTATAATTAAGTCGTTATTAAGTAGTTACCAAACCTGATCTGCTCATTATGAATCTTTGTTATGTTTGTTCATGTTTAAAAGTGCATTTAAAATGCTTAAAAAAAGCACTCATTTTTCTTCTTTCAAAAACTCATGGGTTTATCTCAAGTCTTGAGACCCACTTTAATTCTTTAGCTTTGAACATCGTGCGAGTTGTGTGGTCCTCTGTGTCTTTTTATTCTATTTATATTTTATTCATTTTATAGTTTCAACCATTTTTAGCTTAGTGTATTCTAATGCTTTTTATTTATTGTTTTTATTTGTGGTTTATTCTCTTTTTATTCTCTCTTAATTGATTCGTGCAGGACTTTAGAAATGCTATAAAATTTTAGGGATGGTACAAAGGATGATCTTGTGACAATTTTTTTTCCAAGTGTTTACATTTAGATTGGACAAAAAAGGGTTAAGTATTGGTGAGTTCCATCTTTTACAATTTGTTCCCAATCCCTCAGTCGTCCAGGTAGAATCCATGGCAAAAGGAGAAATGGTCTCTGGTCTTCTTTCTGGTCTGGTCTCTGGCCTGGTCTCTGGCCTGGTCTCTGGTCTTTGGTCTAGTTTCTAGTCTAGTCCCTGGTCTGCTCTCTGGGCTGGTTTCTGGTCTGGTCTCTGTTCTAGTTTCTGGTCTGGTCTCTGTTCTGGTTTCTGGCCTAATTTCTAATCTGGTCTGATTTCTGGCCCACTTTTTGGTCTGGTCTCTGGTCTGGTTTCTAGTCTGGTCCCTGGTCAGGCCTCCGGTCTACTTTCTAGTTTGGTTTCTTGTCTGGTCTCTGGTCTGGTCTCTGGTCTGGTCCCTGGTCTGGTCCCTGGTCTGGTCTCTGGTCTAGTTTCTAGTCTGGTCTCTGGTTCCTGGTCTGGTCTCTGGTCTGGTCCCTAATCTGGCCTCTGGTCTGGTCTCTGGTCTAGTTTCTAGTCTGGTCTCTGGTCTGATTTGTGGTCTGCTCCCTGGTCTAGTCTCTAGTCTGGTCTCTGGTCTGGTCCCTGGTCTGGTCCCTGGTCTGGTCCCTGGTCTGGTCCCTGGTCTGGTCTCTGGTCTAGTTTCTAGTCTGGTCTCTGGTTCCTGGTCTGGTCTCTGGTCTGGTCCCTAATCTGGCCTCTGGTCTGGTCTCTGGTCTAGTTTCTAGTCTGGTCTCTGGTCTGATTTGTGGTCTGCTCCCTGGTCTAGTCTCTAGTCTGGTCTCTGGTCTGGTCTCTGGTCTGGTCCCTGGTCTGGTCCCTGGTCTGGTCCCTGGTCTGGTCCCTGGTCTGGTCTCTGGTCTAGTTTCTAGTCTGGTCTCTGGTCTGATTTGTGGTCTGCTCCCTGGTCTAGTCTCTAGTCTGGTCTCTGGTCTGGTCTCTGGTCTGGTCCCTGGTCTGGTCCTGGTCTGGTCCTGGTCTGTCCCTGGTCTGGTCCCTGGTCTGGTCCTCTGGTCTGGTCTCTGGTCTAGTTTCTAGTCTGGTCTCTGGTCCCTGGTCTGGCCTCTGGTCTGGTCTCTGGTCTAGTCTCTAGTCTGGTCTCTGGTCTCTGGTCTCTGGTCTGGTCCCTGGTCTGGTCCCTGGTCTGGTCCCTGGTCTGGTCTCTGGTCTAGTTTCTAGTCTGGTCTCTGGTTCCTGGTCTGGTCTCTGGTCTGGTCTCTGGTCTCTTTCTGTGTTGTCCTTTGTGTCCACTCTTATTGGACTTTTGATGATATGTGAATTTCTTAAACTGTTTAAACTTTAGACAAAAGTAGAAACCAACAAACACTGGACTGAAAAAAAGACCCCATTTTCTCCTTTGATTTTATTGCACTTTACCATGAAATATCCAAAAGGTAAATTCACAAATGTTGAACCTATTTTCAGTTATTGACTAAACCCAAGAAATTACTGCATTACAAGATAATTTTGCATTTTACCAATATTTATTTTAGCTTTCCTCATCTGTATTCATTAGTATTGGCCTATAGAATGCTCTGATGTCATCTGATACACACTAATATAAATAAAGTGGATTGGATTGGCTCAGATTGACACAGGATGGAGCCAACGTGACCACATGACTGTAAATTTTCTACTGACTTTTTGACAACAAGGCTTTGAATTGTGCACCTTATTGGCAAGCTGCAAAACCCATTCACTCAAGAAGAGCAGACACTGAAACTTAAAACCTCGACTTGCACTTTCTAAAAGTAGACTTTGGGAGATATCTGCGACCTCTACTTGTCACCAGTATAATTCATGTGTCGCTTGCTCACAAAAACACAAGAGAAATTTGGTTATTTGTAAGGTTTAGAATCGCATTGTTCTCATTAGAGTTTCTCCGTTGCAAATGAGTGGTGTCAATCTTGATTTGAGCTTTTGGCAGGACAATTTGTTTTCTTGAATCTGGTCTACAACTAAGCTTTTCTCAGCCTAATTGGAATGAATGGCACAAGTTGATTCAAGGATTTGGAAAGGAAAAAAATTGGACTTTTAAACTTCTTTTTAATGTTTGTTTTAGGGCGGGAGACTGACCGCACGTTTTCTGGAAGGATCTGGTTTATTGTGCAGGAAGTGTACCCCACAAATGTATTCTCAAATTACATTAAAAAATGCCGAACTATTGTGAAATGTAGAGTTAAGGTCATATTAGGATTCTTATTACGCACTAGCAATCTCCATGTGGCAGCCCTGTTTTGTAACTTGAACACCTTATAAACAAATGTAATAATAATACGCTTTGTGAATTTTATCCGACTGTTAACCGTGATGTGAAAAAAACAAAAAAACCTAAATAGTGTGATACATAAAGTGATTAAGACTTGTGGTGTAAATGGAGAGGAGGTTTGGCTGGGAGGGCTGTGCATGTCTGTGGCCAGCTGCACCTGTCTTAAGAGCGCTACAGGAGCAGAGACCGGGGGCCCCTCCGTGGATCTGAGCCAAACAAGGAGCCGTGGTGACAGTAAAGGAAGCAACCAAGGTATAAGCACAAGAGTGAATGCGATTCCCCTGAGAATCTCTCCCATGACACGCTCGGCCCGGATAAAAATAGCTTTATTAGGTTTAAGTGGAATTAGGTAGAAGATATCTGTCAGCAGGCTAATATAATGTAAAGGCTGTTCAGCACTTGATCAAATGTGATGCCAGAATTGATACTTTGCAGTGACGTCACGCCAGGGGTGTTCTGCACGTATGTCTATGGCGGTATGTTTGGGTGTTACCATGTAGTGCACACATTAGCAAAGACTGTCTTGAGAAAAAATGCAAAATGAATTTAATCAACATTAGGGATGTAATTAATCCGTGTATCATTTGTTCATTTGTTTTTGAAAATAAAACCAAAAATAATAAAACGAAAAATACAACTATTTTCTTCATTATTTGTCTCCAAAACCAAAATGAAAAAACAGATAACGATTTGTTTTTTTCAGTTTTTGATTTTGTGTTTAAATGAATAATGGAAAAAATGGATAACGGCCATTTCCGTGACTTAAACTGCGATGCCGAACTTTTGCACCACATATGGACTAAATCAGGACTAAACCAGGACTAAACCAGGTCCAGAACCAGACACAAAACAGACCAGGACTGAGACCTGGACTGAGACAAGCATTGAGACAAGCATTGAGACTGGGAACAGGACCAGGACTGAGACGGGGACTGAGACCAGGACCAGACTGGGATCAGACCGGGACTGAAAACAGTTTAGTCCTGGTTCAGTCCTGGTTCAATCAGTTTTGCGGTGCAAAAGTCCGGCATCACAGTTTAAGTCATGTAAACAGGAAACGGCCGTTATCTGTTTTTTCCATTATTCATTTAAACACAAAACCGAAAACTGAATAAACAAATCATTATCTGTTTTTTCATTTTGGTTTTGGAGACAAATAATGAAGAAAATTGTTGATTTTTTCGTTTTATTATTTTTGGCTTTATATTGAAAAACGAATGAACAAATGATACACGGATTGTAACGATATCCAAATCTCTCAGTATATATTTATCACGATATGCATCTCACGGTACAATATTTATTGCGATAATTTGGAGAAGTTAATATAATTGTAGATGGGACACTTTTTTGCTTTTTAAATACCTTGACAAGAATTTGGTGTGAATTTTTATCATCATAACCCCAAGAATTCATGTAAAAAACAAATTTCTTCGCGTTGTCTGCACTGAAATGAATCATGGGATATGTAGTTCCCTATGTTTATAAGCTGTTGTTACTATAAAACAATGCATTTAAGCAAAGAAACTTGTAATTCGATATATTGTAACAGCCCACGATATTATTGTGAGACTTTTGACCATAAGATATCACAATATTTTGGTTATTGTTACATCAATAATCAACATATTTTCAAGAGTCTGTGATACAATATGAAATACAAAAAGGAGAAAGTGACTAACTGAGAAAGTGTTGGCTAATGTGACTGTAATTTGATGTTCTTCCTGTCAGATTGCGTTAAATTAAAGCTCCGATTAAAGTCTAATCTAGCTTCAGACAGCGCAGTGCCTTCCGTTAGCGTCACACCCTCGAAGAATCTTGACGGTATCAGCTGTAAAGTATCAACAGACGGATTTAAACCCTGACCAGACCCATTCTCTGAGTAGTGAAAGGTGGTCTGAAACCTTTCCAGTTCTAGCAATCATAAAAAGTAATTCAACCCATCACATGTGTAGTTCTTTTGATGCGTGTCGTGGCAGCGGCTACACACAGTCACTGGAATCTACTGGAGTCCCTGGAGAGTTGTGGTGACTAGTTAAGGCTCCAACCATGACTCACTCCCTGGTAAAACAAAAAACAAAACAATTATACAATATGTACAATTTTCATTTTTTCCGTTCTAGCTTGTTGTCAGCGTATTGATACTTTGCAGCTGATTCTGTGTGACTGTGACGCTAACTGGAGGCATGCTCTGTCTTAAGCTTAGTTAGACTTTAATCTGATCTTTATTTTAACACAATCTGACCAGAAAGAACTGACTCGGCTGGATCTATAACAGGTGAGCTGATTTGTGCTCTTAAATAATCACAGTCACAGTTTTTCAATTAGTCCCACTCACCTTTTTTGTTGAAAATTAAACACCTAAACATGACCATGAACGCTCATATTGATCACAGGCTCCTGTTTTCATTTTCAGGAGCCTGTATTTTGTATTTTTTGTATCCATTTTGTATTTTTCTTAGAGTTTTCAGACCATCTTGAAACATTTTTAGCAGTGTCTGCTAATATGTGTATTGTGTCACTATGGTACCTGCTGAACATCCCGCCAATACACATATATGTAGAACACCCCCAGCGTAATGTCACTGCAAAAGAGGTGAGTTAGTGGGTTTTTATCAGTTTGTGGAAAAAAATGCATCTCTATTTCCAAATTGGAATAGTCCAAAAGTCATGAATAATCAGAAGATCGATCAAAATGATGTAAGAAAATGTAAACTTTATTGCAACTTGTTGTTCTAAGTTCTGATTTACAGAAGAGAAAATACTTGTAATGGCACAGTCATTGTAATATGTAGTACATTGCTAACACTGCAATAATTCTGACACTTCCTCTGTCCAGAAGTAGCACGTTAAGGCGAATGGAGCTGGTGGAATAATAAAACAAAGCCTTTGTCTGCTGAACATCCACAGCACTCCATTAAAGCGTTGGGCAAAACAAAATCACAGTTTCTCCGATTCAACAAAATACAATCTAAGACACGTTAAGACGTTTGTGTATTTATCTGTACGGCGCTGCGCTAAGACATCGAGTGATTTAAGTGTCGTCAACCTGAGAGTGAAAGGACACAGTAAACTTCATGTTGGTGGAAGAGTGTGCGTAATACTTATATACTTATATGTGTTACTGGTGTTGGTAAAGACTGTCTATCCAAGAGCCTGATGATTTTGAATAATTTCTTCTGATATTATAAATCTTATTTACTTTATGTTAGTCAATTTAAACTTAAGAAAAAAGTGAATGCATTTTTTAGTTCGTTGCTATACTGTATTTTGTGGGTGGGATGAGTTTCTGACATAAAGACTTTAAATTTGTAATTTTATACCATCTTCTGGTATATAAATAAATCCACTCTACATAAGCGTCCAGCTAAAGCTGTCACTACAGCAGGTTAATAACATGGTAAGAGGCTTAATACTTAGTTTAATATGCACAGGAGTCAGGGGCCTCAATGTCTGGCCTACAGTACTAAAAGACATGTGTCAAAGTGGTATGTTTACAATACACATACTAATATGAATAAGTGCTATGGGCTGTAAGATTGTCACGTGACTTGGTAAGTAGTAAGAAACAGTTACTTGAGGTACATTCAAAATCATCAGCCATAAAGGCCGGTTAAGTTCAAGTAAAAGCATAGTTTGTGGTAAGGCGTATGGTACCAATGTGCAGGTTTGTCTGTCTCCTCCTGTTTAAGCACGTTTAGCCGTCCTCCATTTTCATTTGGTCTTGGTGAAAGATTCAGATTTTAAGCACGGGGCTTGTTTTGTTTCTTCTTGTCAAGTGAGCCAGCAGCATAAAAATTAGACCGTAGAAATGCATCAGCCTTACAAAAGAAGCAAAAATACTGGGAAACAAAATCAGCCAGAGGTAAAATTGATTAAAATGTCTTTTAAAAAATACAATTATTTGAATTTATAAAGTGCAAGTATAAAAAAAAAAAATTAGTTTCTACATGTCTCAGACTTGAGACTGGGTCCTAAGTGGAAAAGTGCAGACCGAGAACAGCACAAGTATTTGAAAAGGATTTGTATAAAGTACAGCATGTCAGGCCATCTGACTCAGCTTCTTCTTAAGAAAATGGCCACCTCCTCCAAGGCCACGGGATAGTCCTGTAGCAGCGTTCCTCCATCGAACACCTGTGCAGTCAGGCGGTCCTGCCACTGGAAGCCCCCATCAGGTAAATAAATATCCCTGTGTACAGCCCCCCTCTCCACCACGGGTGCCACCAGGACCTGCAAACACACACCCATTAAGGCTGAGACATTCTGACCAATTAGCAGCACATCGAGTTACAGCCAAAGGACAGATCAGATGGAGCAGGAAGGAACTCCTAATGACTTCACATTAAAGTCCTAAAGTCACCTCGTCTCCAATGAGGAACTGATCATCGATGGTGAAGGTCATGGGGTCGCTGGGGCTCAACCACCACATCGGGCGGAAGATGGGCTGTCCCGTCAGCTGCCACTCCTCTGCGTACTTCTCTATGAGGGGAACCACCGTCTTCTGGTGTAGAGATATGTACTGCCGAGTTATATTCAACACCTGGGGGAAAAACACAAAGCAAAACTCATTTCAGTCACAGTACAGTGAAAACAAGAGATGCAGGTAACAGAGTAACAGGTATCGACCAGACTCCACCTGGACATGACTGTTAGTTTAGAGTAGCTTAAATGCTCAACACAGCAGCATCATTGTAAGGTATTGTCAAAAACATTAGCAGAATAAAACAAAAGTCTCTCAGGACTCTGCAAAAGACATTTGAGTCATGTCCAGAGCAGAGCACGTACATTCAGGGGCAGTTCAACATTAACTTTATACTGAGTTATACTGAGTCCTCCTGTCTGCGTCTGACCAAAGGCCTCAGTAGCATTCCTAAAAGGGTCACATTCTCTGCAACGTCCCATGACGAAAACAACTTGACCACATTTATTTAAAATATGATTTTTTATGACTTTGGATGAAGAACGTTTTGTAGGAATGAGCTTGAAGTCTGCCTGGTTTTGAGTTGATCCTTGTATAATTGAGAATCCAGGCCTGGATGTGGGTTTGAGGTTTTATTGCTATTAGAGCGAGTGCAGTCGTTTCATTGTCCTGTCTCACACACTGTGGAAATAAAGGTGCTCTAGACCCCGACCACAATAATATGCAGTACAGTTTACCTCTGTGAAACCTCTCTTCATCAGCTCTTAGAAGTTTAATAACACGCAAAGTGGACCAACATGGAAAACACGCCCTGGCCCCCCAAAATATATCTGTCACGTAACATTTCCAGTGTTTTTGCTCCCTCTACATGCTACTGGAAAAACAGCATTGATCTTCCTTCTCTGTCAATGATCAATTACTCATGGAAATCTTAATTGTCACAATGAAGTATTTTCCAAGACTCAAATTCATTATCATTCTTGCCGAAGTGGCTCTCTATGCGTTAGCTGGAACAGGACTGAGTCATAAATCTAGATGAAGGACTGTAATTCAGAACAGATGGAGTCTTAACCACAGGTGATGTCAGGAGGAAGCCAAGCCATTGCTCCCATTGAGAGAGGAGGTACAGGAGGTATAGAACTCCCATACTTTAGGAAAACAACAAGTGCGTTCTGTTTCAAACCTAAGCCACAATAACTCATGTGTTAGTTATAATGTTACTGTTTTTGTACTGCCTGTTGTGAATGAGGTTATGTGGGTGGGCTCTCCTGCTGGGGGGAAAATCCTCTCCGAGCCCGGAGAGAGGGGTGCCAGGCCGACCCCATGTCTCTAAATAAACAGCTCAATGACATAGAAGAACACTTTATTATTCACCTGCTGAGCTGTGGGCAGGCTTCTGTGCCAATAAAACTGCTCTACCTATCTCCTGCAATGTGTTTCTGGGGGGAGAGTCCATCACCTGCTTGTCTAGAATGTTCCACAGTTTGACATTTCACTTATTTATTTCCATGAAGACAACCATCAGGGAAAGTTACAGGTCATATCTGTGGAGTGGTGACCCCTGCTTACAATAAGAATGCATTTTTGTGTCTCTCTGTGTTTGGGTGTGTGTGTGGGGGTGTGTGTGTGTGTGAGGGGCGTACCCGGTCCTCCCCACAGACCCACGGTGGGGTGTGGAAGCTGATCACTGGGAGAAAGGCCACGATTTCCAGCCATCGAATGAACAACTCCTCATCTGTGACCAGGTCTTCAGACAGAGAGCCGCCTGGTCACACACAAAACACACAAAAACACACACAACACAAAACTATCAGTAAAAGTGATCTTCAAAAAGTAAAATTCATGTTAAAGGTCCTTTATTATGCAAAATTTACTCTTGTGAGTGTTAAGCCATGTTATAATGTTGTTACCTCCTCAGAAAACAGGGGAGACGATAGGGAGGAACAAAGGGCTCTGTTGTCCGGGGCCCCATGGTCTTATAGGCCCAGAATTAGGCCCTATCCACCCTAATACGTATTGGAGTAATTTTCATTGAGGATGCAGTGTTTGTCCACACTAATCCGATTGAAAACGGTTCTAGACACCTAGAGATCTGGTGCCATCAGCTCCCACAAATTCATCTGAGTATGGATCTGATCCGGCACTGTGTGGATGCCTGAAAAAGCTGATACGCTTATACGCTGATGTAGGTCTATGTGCCGTGAAGTAATTTACTGCCAATACGCTAAGAGGCTAGAATATATGTCCATTCATATAAACGGTCTGTGTGTACGACCTGCAGACGTATGATCTCTGACAAGTTTCACATGAACCATCTCCAATGTGACAGAAACACAGAACAGACTCACCCTCAGCAGAACACCCCTCTGTCACAGAAAGAACATTCATATGCCACTGAGTCGTGTCCTTTAGTCCAACAGAAGCTGAACCACATCAGCGCACAATAGCGAGCTGTTTTTTGAGCGCTTAGTTTATGCAAATTAGCCATGGGGTTTTAAGTTTTGTTTCTGTAAAACATAAACAAATATGCTCAAAGCTGTGTGGATAGGGAAGGCTTGCGGACACAGAAATGATGTGTCTAGATGCAGATTGTTTCTGATATGGTGATTCACAGAGTTATTTCATTGTAAACGTAGTCTTAGACCCTCTTCTTATTAATTCATATTAGAAGGAGGCCCATGTGACCTTTCTTACCCAAGGCCCCCAAATGTCTGTCAACAGGCCTGCCTGGGGTTGTGTTTTGTTTCATTCATTCATTCAAACCCTTTATTAATAGTCTGTCCACATCTCCAACGCTCAAAATGCTCTGTTCCATCTTAAGATGTCATGAAGCCGTAGTTTTTAAGTTAACAGCAACTTTCTTTAGATCAGTAGATTGTCAAAAGGCTGAAATTATCCAAATGATTCTAGTGACGGTGCATGGAGTTTGAAAACACTGTGCCGCACTTCCTCTATTACCACATGACCTCACAAGGTGGAACAGAGTGTTTTCTGTTTGTGTGTTAAACATGTGTGAATGAAACAAAACACAACTCCAGGTCTGTTTGTGATGAAGAAACAACATTATAACATAGATCAGAAAACAAAGACCCTTTAACATTTCTCCACTGATGTATGGTTGGCTGTATTATTACCTACTGCATCAGGAATGAGGAAGTTGTATCCCATTAGAGTGTGGTGCAGCAGGGAGGGAATGATGCCCTTCAGACCCATAGAGCTCCAGTCTGACTGCAGGGGCGTCATCCGGACAAACAGAGGCCTGTGGCTCGACCTGTCACACACACCAAAGTAAAGTTCAGTATTCACATTAAAACAAACTATGAGGCCTGTCACAATAACACATTTTGAAGCTTGAGATATTGCAATCAACGATAATATAGTTTTGTAGTATTGTAGTACTTTCAAAGGACAGTTTGGAATTTTGGACATAGGACCTCATTTCCTAGTGAGCCAGAGTGTTGGAGACGTGTGGAGACACTTTTTAAAATATTCCATCCAGTCCTTGTATTTGCAAATGTCGCTGGTGCTAGGCTAGTGCATGTCAATGGTCATAGTTATCCTGCCACTAAAAACAGTCTTAACCACTCCACAAAACACCCAGAAGCAAATCTATTATTACACCAGACTGTCGATGTAAATGTCTGTGTTGACAGAATAATGTTTCAAATAAAATTAACCTTACATTTGAAGGATTTATGTCTGAGCAGCAGCAGCAAGTTGTACTTCCTGATAGAAAGCTCGTCAGCGGCGGACTGATATATGAGAAAATAGTCCCTTAACATGCGACGATTCAAGCGATGCAAGGTTAGTTTGATTTCAAACATTATTCTCTCAACACAGACATTTACATCGACAGTCTGGTGTAAGAACAGATTTCCTTCTGGTGTTTTGTGGAGTGGGTAAGTGTTTTTAGTGGCAGGATAACTATGGCCATTGACATGCACTAGCCTAGCACCAGCGACCTCTGCAAATACAAGGACTGGATGGAATATTTAAAAAAGTATCTCTACACGTCTCCAACACTCTGGATCACTAGGAAATGAGGCCCTATGTCCAAAATTCTAAACTGTCCCTTTATTATTGAATTGGATTTGGATTGGATTTATATAACGCTTTTCAAGACAAGAGCATTATTCTTTCACTCCACACTCGGTGGTGGTAAAATACTATTGTAGCCACAGCTGCCCCGGGGAAGACTAACAGAAACGAGGCTCTCAATCTTCACCACTGGCCCATCCAACCAACACTCACACACACACACACACGCCCACACATGTCGGTGAAGTGTCTTGCCTAAGAACACAACAATGGATTTTGCCACTGTTGTCCCACTGTGGCACCTGATATTCCCAGTGGTCTCCCATCCAAGGACTAACCAGGCCCGGCTATGCTTAGCTTCTGCGATCTGACGAGCTCAAGCTTTGACAAGACAGTAGGGCTTAAATATAAATTATCATTAAAAGTCATGAGCTGCAACAAGCGAATGGCAGAATGATCCATTAATTAGTGATTAGAAGTTATTTATTCTACCCTCTATTATACAAATATTCCCTTATTACATAAAAAATACAAAAATCTCCACACTTTTACAAACAAATTGAACACAGGATAAATGTTGAGCCCCAAAATATACTGTTCCACCTTTTATGTATCAATTAATAAGTCGATATAGTAATTATCTTGACTCTGAGTTTATCGTGCTTACTGTGTTCCTGCCGTCACAATGGAGTTTTCTATTCTGGATGCCAGGTCTGCCAGTAGACTGATGTATCTGTCTCCAGAGAGAGACTGTGCCCGCAGAGCCTGCTCCTCCAGCGCGCTGCCCTCTGCTCCCTCCAGCAGGACGTACTCCATCCCCAGAAGAGCCTGGAGAGAGCCCACTCTGTCCAGGAACCAGCTCACGGCCCCTGGATTCGTCAGGTTCAGTTTAACACAGAACCTCCCATGCCACTGACTTAATATGGGAACCTGAAGGACAAAAAGAAAAATGCTCAGATTAGCAATGGCTTAGAGGGAAAAATAGCTGCCAAACATTTTTTTTTTACAGTTGCTCCCTTTGTTAAACTGTCCTACATCCATAGACTGTATAAAGAAGTAGACTAAGGGAATGTAATGAAGTTCACAAGCAGCAATTTTGGGGCAAATTTGGTTCTGATTAGGAATAAGAGTTTATATATAGAGAGAAAGGATCATGAACATTTTAAGCCCAAAATGAGGAGGCTCACAGCAGCAGTTACAGAGACAATATAAAGTCATTTGGAATCAATGGAGTCTGGAGTCGTGCTCTCTTTCTATTTGGAGCGTGGAGGCTTGCAGGTTAGCAGGTTAGTAGGTTAAAATTTTCTTTGGCAAGTCTTTTCTATGGCAAAGTGACAATAAGCCTTTTAGACACTCTTATGTTTTTACTGATATGAATCTGACCGAACGCTGCCTTCAGCCTTTGTGAACTGAAGTGTAATAAATGGAGGCAGCAAGAAAAAAAACAGATGGAAAATGTTCACTCAAGAAAAAACTATCTGTTTTTTCACGTCACCAACATGAATTACTGATACGTAATATTTCAGAACGTAAAAGTAGTGAAGGATTGTCATCATTTATTGTGCAGTGGAGGCTCACCATTTGTCCTTGAGGGTTTGAGGGTACGCTGAGCCAGTAGGTTTCAGTACCATCGACGAGGGAACTGTGGAATTGCGTGGAGTCCACGCCCAGGAACGGGGACAGCGTGATGGAAATGTTAAGAAGCTTGACAAGAGGGAAGTCCCTGGTCAGTCGCTTAGACATCCCCCTTCTCCTGCTGTTGAGGTAGTCATGGTCCTGCACATACACAGCAGATTCATACAGTTTATATACATATTACTGTACACTTCACTATATTAAACATGCTCATACACCAAAAGACATATTCTAATGTAAAAGCTGCGTTTGTCTATCTCTGTGTGACATGAGCTGCAAAGTTGTGACAGCAAGAACCCAGTCAGACGAAGCATTTGTCCAAATATAATAATCCTCACAGTGGAGTCAAAGTGAGATTTCAGATTCCACAACAGAGGAACAAAACCTCTTAAGAACACAAGGTCTGACCTCAGGAGGCCAGCCACTGGTGGGAAAATGCACAGATAAGCTTGTTATGTCATTGTAAATCCACACGCCATTTTTACATAATTATCAGAACATACAGTCCAACACTTCAATGTAACATCTATAGAAGGATACAGCTAAAACTGTCCATTAGTATCACTCAAGATCATAACTATAAAATGTGAATTGGATCCAAAGGGCTTATAGTGACTTAAGAATCCCTATTCCTATTGTAGACCTCTGCTAGAAGTGGTGACAGCTTTAGCTTTGAAAACATTTTTTTAGACAGTTCTTCAAGTGCAGTAAGGGTTCATTATGTTCTTCGTATCCAACTTTTACACAATGGTTTGACATTGCATTACACCTTTGTTGGTTTGACAGACATGATATGCTGTTAAAAGTTGTCAGCATGTTTTATTGAATGACCAACTCTGCTCATACTAACATGTTTGACCATATCAGCCTTGGGATTGTGGGCTGGTTGTTCTTTAATCTTGACAACTCTTCTCAGTGTGTAGTACAGAGTGTGTGGTGCAGAGTGATTCATACCATATCATAGAGGAGGGTGGTGGAATGTTCATTCAGGCTGATGACGCCCTCCCCCAGCTGGTGTCTCCTCAGACGGTTGGAGAAGATCCTCAGCTCCCTCTCCACCTTCGGCCCTGAGTCTACAGAAGTCAGCAGCTTCCAAAATGGCAGCCTACAAACAATAGACTGATGATGAACACTCCGTAATGCAGCAACACTTAAATAAACTGAAATGAATCAATATGAGACTTTCAATGGAATACAATTGTTAGTACGTCTTGATGTAAGAAAACACAATAAACCAGTATGAGTATTTATTAGACAATATAGGATTTCATTTTAGGCATTAAATTGCAAAATAAACTCCATGTAGCTCAGTGGTTGGAGCTGAGGTTTATTTGCACAAACAGGATTATAACAAGTATGAGTCTTAGTGGTGTGAACTTTATATTATATTTTCTCCTCTGACTAACCGCATGGTTTTCATGTTGGGCAGCTCCCTGCTGTGAAGGGACAGTTGTTGCATAGCGTCGAGATGAGCCGCCTTCACGTTGGGGCCCACACACACTGAGTACTGGAGAGGCAGACGCTCCATACTAGGCAGTGACTGCAGGCAGATCTGTTCCCCACTGTCCAGGCCCAGCTGTATGGGAGTCTCAGGAGACACCAACAAGGCCACACCTGCGCCAAGAACATGATTATAACACTTAAAGAGTGTAAAACATGGACGTCCTTCAAACGCACAAACTCAGGCTTTACACTGATCATATATACAGTATATGAGCCAGATTCCAGTGATCTGACATAGAGCGCTGAGTGTTACTGAGACATGGATCAGTCTGACCCATGAGCATACACTGTGGGCTGTGTCAGCTCTGCTCGATGTGAGAAATCACTGCCTGCCATCAGATACAGCAGCATCAGGTTTATACCAGGACAAGGCTCTGTGGCTCTGGATATCCAACAGAAGAGTCCTGGGATAATCTTCATTCAGATGTACAACATTCTGTTATATAATTTACAATACTGTTCACATAGTGTCTCTGATGAGATTATTAGATAGATTATTAGAAGCAGAGAATTGCGTTCACAGATGCCCTGTGAGGAATGCTTCTCCGTATAGAGTTACTCCTAAACTCTGTGCCGGTCACTCCTCGGCCAGCCTGACCCCGCCCCTCCTCCCACTGTACAGCTTCCTCTCAGGTGACCACAACACCAGACTCTGAGCTCTGGGTTTTTCAAGTTTAACACAATCCAGGATTTGGGGCTAATCAATGAGCAGAACAGATTTTTTCTCAGAGTTGGCACAGTCTGAGAGTCTGAGATCTTGGCACGCTTTGGTCTTCACCCTCTCTGGTTTCAATGAGCTTATACAAGGCAGGACCAGGAGCGGACAGGATACCCATGCACCATTTTATAATCAGTTTAATCATTTCCTTTAAATACTGCTTAAAGCTTAGTCAAAGTCATTGCTGCTCGAGAATTCGCAATGGATAATGTCAAAGAGATACTGGTAACACCTCAGCTGCCTGTCTCGAGGTATTGGGTCACCACTAAACTCAGATACATTCAGCACCAGACCTGTATGTTGAGCACTAAGTAGCACAATGATATACAATAATCTAACACGCTTAAAGGTGCAGTGTGGAACTTTTCTGCTGGAGGCTCTGTCAAATGTCTCCATGGAGTTGTTATTGCTTTATCTGGAACACTTCACAGTATGGTATGAAACCTTTCTATCTTCATGGAGACCAAACCAGACCAAGGTACAGGTCAGATCTGTGGAGAGGCGACCCCGCTCATAGTCAAAATACCGGATTTTCAAGGTATTTTTGAGCAATAAAACCACCTGTAATTGAATAAATGTAAGGTTGAGCTGTTTAATGTCATACTGTGGAACATTCCAGGCAACAAGCAGGTGACAGACCCTCTAGAAAAGTTACATAATGCACCTTTAACTATGCTCACAACTCATTTCAAAATAAAAGAGAATTAAATGCTTTCTGACAAAAAATATAAAAGCAATCTAAACAGCAACTTAAATGAGTGTGTACATGTTTTTAGCAGCATGTGATATTAAAGTTGCACTGTGTAACTTTTCTGATAGAGGATCAGCCATCTGATTGTCTCCATGGTGATGTTATTGCTTTGCCTGGGATGTTCCACAACAACCAAATATATGTAGTATTTGTTCAATTACAGGTGTTTTTATTTCTCAAAACGTCCTAAGCAGGTCCACGTCTCCACAGATCTGACCTGTAATTTGGTCTGGTGATGTGGCCTGCTTGTCTCATTTCAGGGGAAAAAAAAAAAAAAAAAAAAGCAACAACAAGGAGTCAAAGCGGTGGACCCTCTACCCGGAAAGTTACACAGTGCACCTTTAATAATCCAATCCAACTTTATTTATAGCACAACACAAGCTAAGTGCTGCACAGAATACACACAATATAAATTAAAACACTGACTAAAATAAAAAATAAATGCATAAAAAATAAATAAGCAAGTCAATAATTCAGAAATAAGGCAAAAAATCTGGATGGTCACCTATTATTTTATATTATATTAGCCATTCTTATTCTTAGCTCTACTTCTGTTCACACTGTATTTTGTATTTTTTGTATTTTCTGTGTATTTTATCCATTTAATTTTTTTGTTTGTTTCATTAATTTAAGATGGATTTAAAATAATGATGTTACGTCCGTCAAAGTGAATGAAAAAGAGCGGAAAGAATTGTAAACTTATAATATCTGGCTCCAGTTGACTGAATCTGCAACAGCTACATTTACCACAGATGTATTTAAGTGAAGTTACACAAAATTAAAGGTGCACCGTGTAACTTTTTGGTTGGGAGTCTGTCACCTTCTTCTTCTTCTATAGATATGTCATTGCTCTGCCTGGAATGTTCCACAGCATGACTTTAAACAGCTCTACCTTACATTTATTCAATTATATGTGGTTTTATAGCTCAAAAATACAGACAGTCTCCACAGATCTTACCTGTAACTTGATCTCCATGAAGGTAGAAAGGTTTAAGACCACACTATGAAACAGTCCAGACAAAGCCATAAAATCTCCCTGAAGAAAAACAATTGATGTACCCTTCACCAGAAAAGTTACACAATGCACTTTTAAGTCATCCTTAACACAAAAGAACATTTACTCTTCCATCTCGTGTTTTTGTAACATCTCATATTTGACATTTCTGTTAAATAGAACTGCACTGATCCAGCTTTTTCAGTTCTGATGCTGATTCTGACACTATCGCTTTAAGTTTCTGCCAATACCAAAGCAGCATTTATCTCCTTAAAACTAAAATGAAATGATGATGAAATAAAATAAGATCAAATATATCTAAAGCTGTTATGTACCTGATATTATCTCTTCAGTAACAGCACAGTTTTGCACAAATAAACACAACATTCATTCACACGCGTTTGAGTAATGGTTTATTATTAGTCTGTCTTCATCTCTAAAGCTCAAAATGCTCTGCTCCACCTTGTGATGTCATGCAGTGGTAGTTTTTCATGTTAACAGCTACATTTTTTATCTTTAGTTCAGTAAAGATGAGCAATTCCAGAGCTGAAATGATCCAAATGATTCTAGTGAAGGTGTATGGAGTTTATAAACACAATGGAGCACTTCCTGTATTACAGCATGACATCACAAGGTGGAACAAAGTTTTCAGTTTGAGAGAAGAACTTTGTTTGTGAGTTAAATATGCGTGAATGAAACAAAACACAACTCCAGGTTTGTTTGCGATGACGAAACAACATGAAAACAAAAAAATTTAATCAGAAAACAGTGTAACACGAGCGCTTTAAAGTAGCCCGGTGGTAAAATTTGCATCCTAATTTCACGACGTAAGGAGAGGGGGAAAAGAAGTAAACGATATATTTTAAGGGAGAGGTGGGGGTGAAGAGAGAGAGTGGAAATAGGGTTGAGTAGCAGACACCAGAGAGTCTCTAAGAATGACGCGCTCCAGGCTGCTCACAGTCAAAGTGCACACGCGGTGGAAAGTCAGCCTCTGGACTCATATTTAATCTTTATGGTTAGTGACGCTGCAAGACCTCAAGGAAGACCTGAGACTGGGACTGAGACTTAGACTGGGACTTAGACTGTAACTTTATTTATTGATCCAAGAGGGAAATTATTTGATAGTGGTGTCTGAAAACTGTTTGCTGCAGAGTTGTGGCATATTAAGTGAATATTTAAGATGTTGTTAAAAATGTCGTTTCTCTCTCAAGCAAGAATATCTGTAGTTCCAAAAATTCTGTTATTTGTTGGTTATAAAACAGTTTTGACACAGTAGCTCACACATCACAATACAGACCCTTAGAGAAAATATATAGAAGGAAATAGAAAATTGTAAACAAAAATATTCCAAACTCGGGGAAAAATCCGCAATTAGCCAATCCATTGAAACTCAACAGAAGAAAAACAACTCTTTAAATCTGCCAAAAATAAACTACAAACTACGAATGTTAAAGCTGCACTCGACTTTTCTGTCTCCATGGAGATGTTGTTGCTTTGTCTGGAATGTTCCACAGTATAGCATTATGATATTTATTTGACTGTGGGCGTTTCTGTTGCTCAAAAATACCTAGAGAAACCTACATTTTTATTACAGTGAGCGGCTCGCCTCTGCACTGATCTGATCTGGAACTTGGCCTTGTGCCGTCATTTGGTTTTCTAACATATTCTAAATTTTGAAATAAAAGCAGCTGGAGGGAAAAGTGAAGTGGGACATAATGTGATTTCAATGGAAAAACTGGGTTTAACCCCAAAATATCACCAAAATTGAAAATGCAAAGGAAATTTTGCAAATGAAAACATGTTGGATACATGTGAGCGACACCAGAGCCCAGTTTAAAACCATTTACAATTGTGTTTTATTTTATTTATTTATGACAAACAAGATTATGATAGACACTAAGCATTTTTTGACCAAGGAAAAATCCAGATTTTTAGTTTGTTCGAGACAAATCCTTACAGAAAAGTTGATCCCTCTACAATTTTTTCAGTTCATCTACACATATACTACACATTTCACCAAAAATATTGATAATTATTATACTTCTTAACAGAGAATTAATAATATTTGTACCTTGGTGATTCAGAATTGTGATTTATTTTTTGTTATAATATTGTAAAACATGTAGTATTTAGCATCTGTTCATCAGTTAATCATTGAAAATATATTATACCTGCTTCACTTTGCCCCCAGTTGCCTCCATTCTGAAATTTTGAACATTCTGACGACATTTTAAAGGGTCTATATTATAATTACAAAGAGCAAAAATTATCATAAATTCAAAATAAGTAACAAAAAAAAAAAATCTATAAAAATATACATGCACTACCAATATATCTGGACTAAATAAAAGAAGTTGTGAGGAGAAACAGTGCAAAGGTGAAACAGTGATTGACATGACATAGTGCTATATGTCGGGAGTATTATCTGTTACATAAGGGTGAGTTGTTGTACAGTTGTAGGGAGTATTATCTGTTACATAACAACAACATGCATGACTCTCCCTGTGTCTATTGGCCAATGACACAATGACACAAAAACATAAAATAAACAAATGCTTTAGAAAAATCATCAAAATTAAAACAAAAATCTTCTGTTTCATGTAGGGAGTATTATAGTCGCTTCACTGGGTCAGTTTCATAGTGACCCA